AAAAATCAACTGAAATTTGGAAAGCTATATTTATTCTTCTGAAGATATGACGCTGAAAAATGTGAAATTTTAAAATGTTGCAAATTTGCCACTTTTTAGTAATGGTAGACAGTTTTAAAGTTTTAGTTACATAATAAGGTAATATGACATCTGTCAAAGTAATTATGACGTTAGCATAGACATGGTTAGAAGTTGTGCCATTCTTTAAATTTTCCAATCTAGGTTGCCTTTGGAACAAATATTCATGTCGTTTATAACACTAATTTTCAACGTATTCACTTTTTTATGTTAAATATTACCGTTCCGCATTGAACTTGACATTGACAGATGTGTGGTGTATGCCAGTATGCACCTCGCATACACATACGTTTCTAAACTACCTACTTTGATTAGAAATTTAAATAATCGCACATTAGTTACATGGTTTGAAAGAGGCGGAACAAATGAGTGCCCGCTTGGAGGTTTAATTTTAATGTTTTTTTTTTCTTGGGCACCAATTTTTTGACAGCAATATTTTTACTCCCACGAATTGAACTCCGTAAATGCCAATTTTAATGCAGTTTAATACACGGATACCCCGCTGACATTTTCTTAGCCGGAATACCACATAAATGTCTGCTTGGCACACTGACTTGATATCTCAAGGCCGACAGTTTGTTTGCACAATTCGTTAAAACAATCTTGTAAGTTTCTTTTAAATGTCTAATTTACAACCTAGGCGAAACCAAACAATTTTAATTTAAACCACATTTCCAAACAATAGTTTACAGCTACGACTTAACCCGTACCAATACTGTGTGATGTCTATTTTTTTTATGTATTATGCGTTCCGGTTTGACTTGGCTAACTGCAAAACTCGCAAGCAATGTATTTTAAATGGAAGAATTCGCGGCGGTGTTGTCAATTCTCCAAAAACCTTTCGACTTCTGAAAACTTAATACATGAATCTTACAAACATTATCATAGTTTTTGTCATTCCGCTTCTATTCTTGTTAAAATTTGATTTTTATGTCTTAAAATTTCATATAAATCGAATTGTTTCTCGAATTTTCGTAATATCAAATTGTTTTTTTTTTTTGGACGTCATTTCAAAAACTACTCCAAATTTTGTCTCAGTTTCTTTAGCTGCAATATAACCAAACAGTACTGATTCTGACAATGTAATTTTTAGCGTACTATAGCGTTTTTAAATTTCTACAAAATAAAGCTTTCTTTGTTACTTACACAAAAGGTGTATCGAAATTTTTAACATGTGAGTTTTTTTATTATTGAAGATTACGCTATGGTAGAATTTTTATACATTTTAAAATAATGTTACGAGGCACGGATATTTAACATCGGCGTGGATAAAACTCAACAATTTATTTCTTCTGTATTTTATTTCGCAACTTGACTGTACTCTCGTGGACTCGACTTGCTGACTGAATAATTACCGTTCCCGACCGTAACCTCTATTTAAACCGATATGTTGCTCTCGATGGATCGAGAACGCCGCTTCGAGATTTTTCCGGGTTGAACATCGCGAGTTCCGCTTCCAGACTTTTCTTTAGCGATCACCGGCCGCCGTCATCCATGATGAGTCACAATTGACGTACATACGAGAAAGTTCTCGACGAGCCATAGGCGTCGTACCGGGGCGGCGTATCGGTTTATTTCGTAACAATATGTTGTGATAAATGCAGAAAATTTAAAAAATGTGAATATTCAAGACACAATCGACAAACAACGAAATTGTGATAAATAAAAATCACATTTTAACGACACAACTCAAGAGTCGGTACGTGAATCTGGAAAATCTCTTTTTATCTTTTTCAAATTTCGTTAGTCGACTTTTTTCCGAATTTTGATCTTTCTAAATATTCATTTTTCTGCTATTTATCGCATTATATTTTAGAATCTACTTGAAGTTTTGCCTTAGATTTTTGACGGTATTAACAGTACCCTTTAAGAAAAAAGGGAGGGTGGGCGGGGCACAGTACCTGCTACGATAAAACTGATTTTGGCAAATCACATACCCTCTAAGAACAGAGGGTGGGTGGGTGGGGTTAGTACCTGCTAAGATAAAACTGATTTTGGCAAAGGAGATACCGTCTAAGAAAAGGGAGGGCGGGCGGGCGGGGCTAGTACCTGCTAAAATAAGACTGATTTTGGCAAATGAGATATAGATAGAACCTCAAGATTGTTCTAAATTTTTGAAAAAAAAAAAAACGGGGTCCCAAGATTAACTCAAAAACGGGTCAGGTCAGAAGTTTCCAAAGTTCTCCAAAAATTGTTATACATAATATATAATTCCATTTCACTGATTTATTTTGTCTAGTCCGAATGAAAGGGGATCTCAATTGGAGAGAGGTAAAATTCTTAGAACGAGAACAGCATGGCATAATATCTGCTAAGATAAGATTAATTTTGGCAAGAGACATGTCCTTTAAGAAAAAAGAGGGTGGGTGGGCGGGGCTACTACTTGTTAAGATAAGATTCATTTTGGTAAATAACATATCTTGTAAAAAAAATGGGTGGGTGGGCGGGGCTAAAATTGCTTTGCTGGGACTGAACAATACAAAGAGTAATCACTGGAACGAAGAAGGGGTGGTTGGACGGGTCTACTGTTTCCTCATAAAACTAGAAAAAAGCTAAATTTAGCCCGCTCACCTTTCTCGATTTCACTGACTTATTTAATTTAGTGTAAAATCGAAATTGAAAAATAACAGTACGAGTATAGTATAACCTCTATAATCCGAACCCACGATTATCCGAACATCCAGAAATCCGAACAGAGGTTAGTTGAAGTCGATGTCTCTTTAGTTCGAACAAAAACTCTGCAATCCGGACTGAACTTGCAAACATGCACTGACATGCAAAAATGACGCAAGATCTTTTACACGTGATGTATTGAATTTTTTGAAATTTTTACAAATTGCGATATATCAATGGACGTTTCTAGAAAAACGGTTGGAGTTTTCGAAGAAATGAGGCCGGAAGTGACTTTTGTGACCCGAAATCTAGAAGAAATGTAAGTTGGAATTTCGAAAATCGTCGAAAATGGGTCGAAATTTGCATAAGGTCCAAAATTTCATTTTTGAAAAAGTCGTTTAAAAATTCTCAAAAAATTCAGGATTATAGATCTCGACGTGCTAATTCCAAAAATACAGCATGTTTATGGTTACGGGGTAATATTTTCTTCGAATGTATCTATTATTCACTATTGCTTAAGAATACTTTATTTTTGTTTAATAAAATTAAGGTTTATTTCTTGTAGTTTGTTTTGAACAATGTATGAAGTTGTTATTCAATTCCTCGTCAGATTTTTGAGAAATCCACTGATCCGAACACATCTTTTCCCCAATTAATTTGGATTATCGAGGTTATAAAGTAACATCATTTGACATACACCTTGTAAAATTTTATGACTTAAGCGGCTTAAGCCACACCGCCCGTATAAGTCAAACTGGCTATTGTAAACTTTATGCACCCGAACCGCACGGATTATTATTACTGTCCATTGTTTCCATAATGGAGCTGTGAACTGGGTTAAGTTATACCATACCCATTTTGACTTAAGCCGCTTAAGTCATAAAATTTTACAAGGTGTATGAGGTTACTTTGCTGTATTCTATTCCCAAAATTTTCTGGAAAAATAGAGTGAGCCGTTCCCGATTTAGTCAATAAAATAAACTAACGCAGTCATTAATTTTTTTGAGACACCATGTATGAGCAAATCTAAAAAATATTAATGCAGTGATAAATCACAAGTATAGACTCATCATATTTTGCACATTTAGGATAGGATTTATTCGGCAAAAGTTTGAGATCATGACGTGAAAAAATTTATTATGCTTATCATAACTTAAAACATCTGCAAGATTTCAAAGCATTCGTTTTGACAGATTCAAAGTTAAATTGCAAAATGTTGTTTTATAATTTTGATTTTTTTTCCAAAAATCCGGAAGAAAAATTTTGTATAGATTTTGAAATATGATGTGATAAAGAAAAAGTCGCAATTTTAAAATTATGAAAATTTAAGAAATAATTCGATTTACTATGGAATTTTAATACATAAAAATCAAACTTTAACACGAATACAAGTGGAATAACAAATACTTTATGATAATTTGTGTAAGATTCATGTATCAACTTCTTCAGAAAGTGGTAGGTTTTTGGATAATTGACAACACCGCCGCGAATTCTCCCATATAAAATGCAACGAACTTTAGGTGGTTAGCAATATTTAAACCTAATTAATTAATAAAATGCGAAGATATTATTCTATGATTCTGAAGAAAATAAATTTATTAGTTTTAAAGAAAACCTTTTAAGTCTAAGAGATAAAGGCACTTTTATTATGATTCGAAACATATTTATTTAATACGTCAGTTATTACTGACTTGCATTTTAGTCAGGACTAAATTTGGGAGTTTTCCCAGTTATAAAAACTTTTTACTTACTTCGATAGCAGTATCAAAATTTAAATCCATTAGGAATGTGTCTTTGTACACCAAATAAGTAAAAACAGTGGCGTTTACACAATCTGAATGTCCGTAAAAAATGTCGAGATTGAACTTTCGCTGTACCTTGTTTGTTTTGCAACAATAAACAAAATTAACAGCCCAACCTATTCACGTTAATTTAACTATTAAAGTCTTGAAACAGGTGACATCAAACGTCAATCTCAAGATGAATCACTAACCAACCTGGTGATGGTATGGGAATTTTCTGACGCAAACAGTGACATCTTTTCACCGCCCAATTTTGCAAACATTCAAAAAATGCAATAATGATTGCACCGTCCTGCAATTGCCCTTGAATTCTTAAAAACTAAAACCGGTCGACTGCAAGTATAAACTCTTGACGAAAGTGTAAAGAGAAAGCACAGAATTAATTGTGTACATGTAAATTTGTGCAACAGCACATGCTCATCAATCATCACAGTGGTGGTCGCTTCTGTACACTTAGATTGCTCAATAATAAAAAAAAAAACGAAAAACAGAAAACACAATACTTACTTTTCGTTTCCGCGTTGCCAAAAACGGACGCGAAATTGTTCTCCGACACGAAAGCCCCGTTCGAGACAACAGGGCTCGGGGGCTGCGCTGAAAAAGCTACAACTACCATAAATCACTCGCCCACGATCTAAATCAAATCCGTTACCGTTTCCGTTGGCCATCCATATATTATTAGGTTGCATGAACGGCGTCGTGTTCACCGGTTGAGGCTGATTAAAAGCATCTGCGAAAGGATTCGATAACTGCAACAAATCATCGGAGGCTTTAACGGGAGCAGCCACGATGGGCTCGGCAGCGAACAAATCAATTTCGGATGCCGACTGTATCGACGTCGTTTTGCTTGACGAAGATGACGAATTGCTTAAGAATGGGTTGACGGAAGCCGGATTCGTGCCGACTTTGGACTGGGAGGAAACAAATCAAGTGAGACATTTTTCAACGGAGGTGATCGGGCAAACCTTGAATTGGTTCATGGCGGCTTCTTCCTCGGCGAGAACTTGAAGTTTGAGGCTTTCGTCGATGCCGTTTGACGGGGTGTCGAAGCGGCCGTTGGCTACCACGTTTCCGAAGGCGTTGCTCGTGGAGGATAGAGCTGTGACGCCGGATTTGACGTTCTTTTGATTGCTGAAAAAAAAAGTTCGACTTCGTGTTATCGACCACTGTACACAAATGTACCTAATGTAATTAACGCTGTAAATTTAGCAACGAGAAGCTTTAAAATGTACTTTTGGAAACTTTTAGAAACATATTAGGTTTCGAGCTCACGGTACAAAAACTGGAAAACAACAAAGCAAAATTTGAAGCCATTATTACGTGAGGGTCAGATAAAAGCACGGAGTGGTTAAATATTTGGAAAAGTGGAGTATCTAATTCGAATTTCGCATGAGCTCCCGAGTATTTAGATTTATGTAAAGTGATTTTTTTTTAATATTTATCTAAACTAGTTTCTGGGAAATAAGAATCACGTGATTTTTTTGAATTGATTATATAGGTTAAATTTAGTATCGTATGAAGGAGCAGATGTTTTAGATTTCAGTAATTATTGTTTTTTAATGCAAAAAATTGTGAAATAATTGCTTGGATAATAATAGTTTACTTTGTTGTTCTAGTAATTAGTGGCTGCGATTATTACTTTTGTCATAGCCAGTATTTTTAAAAATATAATAGTAATTTCCGATCAGTATTAAATCCATTGTGCACTTCAAATTGTTTCCGGAATTGCATACAAAGTGAATGGAATTTTTAAAATAATTGAAATTGTTTTAGGAATTAATGGGATTTATTGGAAATGATAGTAATTATTTATGCAAGAAATCTTAGTTCATGAGTAGAACCTAATAATCTGTACGAATAAAAATTATGTAACAGGTATTTTCTTAAAAAAAAAGAAATTCTGGAACAGTTGAAATTATGATTATAAAATAGAATTAACGGTATTTCTTATATTTACTGGAATTAATTATTTTGGAGATATTCGGCATTGAAATTACATTGTATTGGAGTGCTCCGTCCTTTGAGCAGCTCCTCAATAGCAGTAAATTTCTGTAATTAAAAAATTATATTTTTCGAGTTTTAAAATTTAAATTTTTCAATTTTCCAAATTTTGAATTTTTCAATGTTTCGATTTTATAATTTTTTGTTTTTTCAATTTTAATTTTTTCAATTTTTCTGTAGGTAAGCAGAGAAAAATGTGCCTCGGTGGGAGTCGAACCCACGTCTCTATGCTTTCCGGGCAAGTATCTTAACCACTGGATCACGAAGCCACTTATCTTTCTCTGCTTACCGACGTGTTATTGTGCCGCCACATTTCGATTTGCGACTTTTCAAGTTTTTATTTTTTTTTTACAATTTTTTGATTTTGCAATTTTTTTAATTTTCAATTTTTAATTTTTCCAATGTTGAATTTTTTATTTCTTCAATTTAAATTTTCCAGTTGCAATTTTTCGATTTTTCAATGTTCCGATTTTATAATTTTTTGTTTTTTCAATTTTAATTTTTTCAATTTTACGATATCCAACTTTTCGAGTTTTCATTTTTAAAATTTTCAGTTTTTCGGTTATCAAAGTTCTGATGTTGCAATTTTTCGATTTTTCAATTTTTCATGTCTTCAGTTTTTCGATTTCCAATTTTTCATTTCGATTTTTGTTTTCTTTATTTTTTCAATTTTTCGTTTCGGTTTTTATTTTCATTTTAAAAATTTTTCGGTTTTTCAATTTTACGATTTCAGAATTTTACATTTTTTCAATTAGTGCATTTTGAAACTTTTTCATTTGTTCGATTTTTCAATTTTTCGATTTTACAATTTTTGGGTTTTCTAATTTTTCGTTCGTTTCGTTTTTTCTTTTTTCTAATTTTTCGATTCATTACTTTTTTTCGATTTTTATGTTTCTCGATTTTTAGTTTTTCAATGTTTCAATTTTTCGTTTCTTCAATTTTTCGATTTGCGATAATTCAATTTTTCATTTTTCTTGTTTCTACAATTTTTTGAGTTTACAGTTTTAAAATTGTCCAGTTTTTCGATTTTCCAACTTTTGGATGTTTCAACTTTTCAGTTTTTCAATTTTACGATTTTAGAATTTTTTCATTTTTCAATTATTGGCTTTAAAAACTATGTATTTCATTTATTCCATTTTTCAATTTGTCCATTCTTTTATTTTTCATTTCTCCACATTTTCCACTTGTAATATTTCGTTGCGGTATTTTATTTTCTTTATTTTCACAATTTTTCGATTTTTCAATTTTCTGATTTTATAATTTTTTGTTTCTTCAATTTAAATTTTTTCAATTTTTCATTTCTGCAATTTTTCAATGGTTAATTTTTTGTTTCTTCAATTTTACGATATGCAACTTTTCGAGTTTTCAATTTTAAGTTTTTCAATTTCCAATTTTTCGCTTCGGTTTTTGTTTTTTTTATTTTTTCAATTTTTCGGTTTTTCAACTTTACGATTTCAGAATTTTTCCAGTTTTTTCATTAGTGCATTTTAAAATTTTTTCATTTATTCGATCTTTCGATTTTTTATTTTTCAATTTCCCCATAATTGAATTTTAAATTTTTCGATTTTACAATTTTTGTTTTCCAATTTTTCGTTTTTCAATGTTTTCTTTTTTCGTTTTCGGTTCTTCGATTTGGAATTTTTCGATTTTCCACTTACGATTTTGCAATTTTTCGATTTGAGATACATATTTCAATTTTTCATTTTTCTTGTTTCTACAATTTTTTGATTTTGCAATTTTTTGAGTTTTCAATTTTAAAATTTTTCAGTTTTTCGATTTCCCCACTTTTGGATGTTTCAACTTTTCAGTTTTTCAATTTTAAGATTTTAGAATTTTTTATTTTTCAATTATCTCATTTATTCCATTTTTCAATTTTTCCAGTTGCAATTTTTCGTTTCGGTTTTTTTCTTTATTTTTACAATTTTTCGATTTTATAATTTTTTGTTTCTTCAATTTATTGATTTTTAATTTTTCATTTCTTCAATTTTTCGATTTACAATTTTTCAATGTTTAATTTTTTTGTTTCTCTAATTTTATGATGTGCAACTATGAGTTTTCTTTTTAAAAGTTTTCATATATTCAAGTATCAAAGTTCTATTGTTGGAATTTTCCGATTTTTCCATTTTTCATGTCTTCAGTTTTTGGACTTCTAATTTTTCGTTTCGGTTTTTAATTTCTTAATTTTTGTATTTTTTCAATTATTGCATTTTAAAACTTTTTCGTTTATTCGATTTTTCAATTTTTTATTTTTCAATTTCTCCATATTTAATTTTTCAATTTTCCAATTTTCCGATTTTTTGAGATTTTTCGATTCATTAATTTGTTTCGATTTTTATGTTTCTTGATTTTTAGTTTTTCAATGTCTCAATTTTTCGGTTTCGGTTAAAATATTGAATTTTAAAACTTTTTCGTTTATTCGATTTTTCAATTTTTTATTTTTCAATTTCTCCATATTTAATTTTTCAATTTTCCAATTTTCCGATTTTTTGAGATTTTTCGATTCATTAATTTGTTTGGATTTTTATGTTTATTGATTTTTAGTTTTTCAATGTTTCAATTTTCGGTTTCGGTTAAAATATTGAATTTTAAAACGTTTTCGTTTATTCGATTTTTCAATTTTTCAATTTTTTATTTTTCTTGTTTCTACAGTTTTTAGAGTTTTCAATTTTTCATTTTTCTAACTTTTGGATATTTTAATTTTACGATTTTAGAATTTTTTCACTTTTCAATTATTGGATTTAAAAACTTTTTGGTTTATTCCATTTTTCAATTTTTCGATTTTACAATTTTTGGATTTTCCAATTTTTCGATTCTTCTTTTTGGATTTTTAAGTTTCTCAATTTTTAGTTTTTCAATGTTTCAATTTTTCATTTTCAGTTCTTCGATTTGCAATTTTTCGTTTTCCACTTTTTCATCAAAAAAATGGAAACATTGCCAAACTGTAATTGTAGAAATCAAGAACTTCAAGTACTGAAGAAACAAAAAACTGAAAAATAGAACGATTAGAAATTGAGAAACTTAAAAAATGGAAAAAATATGAAATATGTATTGTAAAATCGAAATATTGGAAATAAAAAAATATCGGAAAATCGAATGATTAGAAATTCAAAATTTAAAAAATGGAAAATTTAGGAATTGAAAATCAAACACCGAAAAATAAAAGAAATGAATAAACGAAAAATTGTAACACAAAATCGAGAAAATGAAAATTAAAAAATCGGGAAAATCAAAAATTGAATAATTAAAGAAAATATAAAACGAAAAATTATGATATCAAAAAATTGGTCGAAGGTAACTAAATCCAGACTTTTCGAAAAATTTTAACATTTGATTTTTTGAATTTAAGTTTTTTATGATAAGTAATATAAGTTAAAATAAAAATATAATATGTGCCCATGTACTGTTAAAGGAAATGGGCAGTATACTTTTCCTTTCGTTAAGTCATTGATTATCTAAAATTTTAATTAGAGTGAGTGACAAAATACGATAAAAGCTTGTACCAGACAAAGAGAAAAAATTTAACAAACGTTTCTAATTATTAATTAAAGGAAAATAATGTGGACCAACATAAACAACTGTTACGCATTTGTTTCAATTGAGTTTTCCCATTACAAAAATTTTTGATGCAACATTTTGCAAGGACACGTATGTCAAATTGGATAGGTGCTGTGTATTACTAATAATCTCAATCCTGTTTTTCCAAATTTTCCGGAAAATGGAGTGAGTCGTTCTTGGGAAGAGATAAATACATTAAAATTATTTATTAAATTTAGTCGTAATACCTGTAGAACATCCTTTATTTAAGTGCTGCATGTTCACCTGTTTTTTATTCCTTTTCTTTTTTTTGTAAAGTATTTTCAATATCTGTGGAAGATAGTTTATACAATGTTTCTTTATTTATTAAGATACTCACCGACTTATTGAAAGGAAGAAGAAAACAAAGAGAAGGTTCAGTAACAAAGTACATAATGTTCTATTTGAAAAAACTGAAATATCGATATTTGAAAACTGTGATGTTTTAGATTTTTTATAAACACTCTGTGTAATAAAATTTAATTTAATTTACACCACAACAAAGTGCGAATTTTTGTTTATCGCTCCATAAAATATTAAGACAGGATATAAACATACTGATATAGTATTTTTTTTTCTATGGACACAAAAATCTAGAAAATGGGAACAACGTGACAACGTCCCATCAGAATTTCAAAAATAAACTCTGACTATAAAACTACTCTAAAACCTATATATAACTTTGGTCTTTAATTTTTTTTATCTTTAATAATAATAATTATTAATCAGATATCGAATTCTTACACATCCTTCAGGTTAAAAATAGAGCTGCATCATCAAATTTTTGGTCGAGATTATATCATTACTATACACATTCAAATCGCCGCCAGAAAATGAAAAACCTACTTTTTCATATTGTAAGAGGTACGAAATGTCGATGTTATGATGGATACGGTACAAATACAATTGATAATGATAACTGATGCAATGAATAAAATATATTAGTACACACATTTGTGTTTTTGTGTCATTTTTATATTTTAGTAGACTTCTTTAATAATCATTTCAAGTGACGTCATCTACTTTTTCAGGCAATGAAGAAACTTATATTTTAGTTAACGCTCTGAAATCTCTAAACCAAAATGTCAAAAATTTATTGTGCAATCTCTGAGATAAACTGCAAAACCTGATTGTTTAAACTTTAGCTCAGAACAATACTTGTACACAATTTTACTTTTAAAGCGGGATTCGATGGCGTCATAATTTTTTTGGAAGAGATTATAATTGCCGTTCTACAATCTCCGCACTACTCTTAAAGTGCACCTATAATTTCAAGGCAATCAGCTCCGCAGTTTCGGAGATTATATATGTTCATTAAAATCGCCAACACAGCCAGAAACAGGAAAGTTGCATACGACCTGCGAAACGTCAAAAAATAAAAAACACGAAATTATACGTATGTCGAAATGGTCCTACTGTCGTAACGCGGCCATTCTGACGAATGTGCTTTGGTTGGTCGTTGTTGGAAGTTGGAAATTATATTCTGTAAATACAAAATCGTCCACAGCGCTTGCAAAATTTTAATTAGCCTTGGTGCATAATTTCAACTCTATAATTTTGTAGTTGAACCCTGTAATTTTGCCCAACCCTGGATTTGATACTAGTCGCGCAGGAAGTCTCAACAACTTTTTCTTTAGCCACATTTTCTTTTTTTTTTTTTGACTCAAATTTTAAATACTATTTTATAAACGCTTTTCTATATCAAATTTTTAAACATTAAATTAAAACACCTACGTTTAAAGTTTAATAAAGCGAAAAATAAATAAATAATATTAAAAAAAAAAACTCGAACGGTTTAACTAGTTTTCTTTTTTGGCAATAATTATTATCTTTTGTAACGCCACTAACTTTTAAGTTAGTACGTGATATGCATTTATTTTAATGAAATGCCACATTTAGGTACACTGCATTTAAAAACCCTATTTAACGTAAAAAATTCAAAATGGACTCCGTGTATTTTTAATTTATCTTTTAAACAGTGCAGTTTTTATGAAAAAAATAAAAATGCGGCCATCAAGTGTAAGTTATTTAATGGAAGTATATTTTTATACCTCCAATTTTCCCATTTGAAAAATTTTATTGTGGATTAAGATATTGAACACGAAACTGAAAATTAACATTTTCGATTATTATTTGATAAGTCAAAGTATGTAGTTATCTTTCATTCCGATAAATCAATAAATCTTCGAACAAAAATAAAAAAATTATCTGATAATCTCAGTGGCGAGATACTAGATAAAGAATTTGGCGAAACGTTTCTTCTTGCTTTACTTTTATTGTAAAAAGCAATTATCATAATCACACCTACATATTCGCCGCAAGACTACTTTTTTTATTTTAATCTGATTACATAATAAAATTTTTCAGTAAACAATAAACAAATCTCAAATGTGCAATTCTCATCAAAAATAATGGACAAACTTAAAATTTTGCAACTTTTTTCTATTTGATAAACAAGTTTCAAATTATAGTTGCTGATCAATAAATCCACATCATTATGCAGCACGAACTACACGACATTTTTATTTGCTCAATGGAAACTCATTATGTTCACATTCATACCTAACGGAACTGTGAAAAAAATTACACTATGCAAGAATCCGAACTTTGACAACCGTATGATAAATACTAACCTTGTGGATTGAGTTGAACTCGCTTGGGAACTCTTCTTCCCATCTAGATGATTCAGATGTTGCTCTAGGGCATCTAGTAGACTACTAGGTGCTTTCGTGAGGTCAGGAATGTCACCTTTATCGATGCCGACGTTCTGAAAATTTCATCCAAACACAAGTTTATCTGTAGTTAACTTAGTTAACGCGATAACATATCGCAGTATTGATTTCCGTTAATTAAACGTACTCACTTCGGCAACCTTTAAAAATTCAGCCACTTTATCCATCCTAATGAGGAACTTTTTGTAAATATCCAAGGCTTCTTTGCACTGTTTTTTATTCATATCGAAGAATTTTTCTGCAAGTAATAATTTTGTAAAAGGGGCGGATAGAACGTGAATTGAAATTGCAAAATCTGGAAATGTGCGTTGAATCTGATTTTTGGTGTGTCGTTAAAACGTTATTGCGAAGCTCATTGTGACCCGTTTTAATATTTCGTGAAGCTTTACCAGACTAATTTAATTTGTTTACTTTATTAAAGGAGATTCCGCTGAATGAAAAATTTTGCAATTCCAATAAACGAGTTCCTGAATTAAGACATTACCAACCTAATAAATTAATAATACCATCATTGTAGCATGCAAAAAGTCTTATAAGATCCTTGAAAAGTAACATAAAACACATATTAATAACGCCATTGGTAAGGTCATTGGCAGAACAATCGAATTCTAAAAGAGCATCTAATTGGTTCTGTAACACGGGTAAAGTTTTCAAAAGTTTATCGGCGTTCATTGTTCTCAACATGCCGTCTTCCTTCCTAAAAAGCACTGAATAAATATCAACCGTCACAAATCCGATTACAAACTTGCCCCCTTTTCACTTTACAAAAGTCGAAGGCTACAGTTCTGTAAGACAACGCCTTCTCATTTAAATATCTGGAATAACGTCTAATAAACGGCGACATGTCGTAACCTATAAATATACATTAGGTAAGTCAGAGCTTTGCACTTTGAAAAGAAAAACAGGGTGCAAAAAACAAACATTTAAATACGATTTAATCAAACACCCCCAACTCAGGAAAGTAAGTAGAAATTTAAACTAGCAGAGAAAGAAAAAGGCTCCAGAACAAAAGCTTCCCAACCACCACACATCAAAATCATCAACTTACCAGTCCTAACATTCAGTATTCCTTGAGAAAAACAAAAATGAAAGTTAATAACTCAGAATTATTAACACTTAGAGCTAATGAAGGCATTTCTGGTTACGTAATGGCTGTGGTTACTTGAATAACGACATAGATACGTTAGCAATCAACACTGGACAATTGCAACCAATATGCACTAATTCAGTGTTGACAGCTTCGCAAAAATGGATCGAAGGTGATATTTTTAGGTCGATCGTAAAAATGTTACCAAAAATATCCACTTCGGAATTAGTGGAAGTGCCATGAATGAAGTTAATAACTATTGCGTTAATTCTATAAGTTGTGCGTGCAAAAAATGGAAAAGGTGTGGGTTCGTAATTTATTAAGGATCAATAAACTCACCTTGAACGCCACTCTTATCAAGAAAATTGCTTAGTTGAAACGTGCTGTTGCTCGACGCTAAATATTGTGTGAAACGCTGAAAATTAAAAAATAAAAATTAGCTACGAGAGAGACGATCTAAAAACGCGGGGCTCGAGGCTGTTTTAACTACGTTATACAATGTTTACTTTTTCGTTGAATAATTTCGTATGGAAAAGAAAAATATATCGGGAAATTTTTTTCTCAATGGCGCTTCGATGTTTCTTTTGGTATTTTATATGAAAAGCCTTTTACCTTATTAAATATATATTTTATTGAATTTTTATCAAAACTATATTGGGTCTTGATGAAGATACCAAAGAATACAATTAATTACATAAATAAAAAGTAAATATAAGCGATGAAATAAATAGACACCCACTGTAGATTCTTTAATTAACGAAAATTTATACAATAACATTCATCTGTATCTGTGGTTTATGAATCTGCTTTGATTAATAATTCACACGTGTGGACGCATATTATTTTATTATTAAAATATTAAATTTAAAGAACATTTACTTAGCGAACATTTCAGGTGACTACTACTAAAATTTTGCCGAGGAAGCATCTGCCAAATTTCAGAATAGTTCAGTAAAATTTTGATACAGTTAAAAAATTGGGATTTTCGCGAATTTACTTAAAAATGCACAAAACAGTTGATGGTCCCATTTCAAAGTTGGGGGGTTTTCATCGAAAATCCGAAGTACTCGTGGCGTTTTTGTTAAAAAATTCTGTTCACGTAGGACTGCTGCGATATATTAGGGAAAATAATCCCAAGTTAATACTAAGACTGGTTTTTGACATATTCGGTTTCAAAATCAAAATTTTCAAATATCCAAAAACAAATTGCTATATTTTATTTTGACGATTTTGGAAAAATGGTCGATTTTCGAGGAACTGTGCCCATAAAAACTTTCAAGGGATCGAAATCTGACTGTAAAGGCCAAAAATTTCATAAGTGTTTGCTTTTTTTATATATCTATTTTACATACATATTTTATATATGTATTCCTTGAAGGTTGTACTTTTCAAATTTAAAATGGTATAAATAAATTAATTATGTACGTTCAACGCACTATACCATGACTCACATCCGTTGGCTAGTTTACATGCAGACTTGTTCTATCATAATACAAATTTCAAAAATGAGAATTTCGTTACCTAAAAATCCACAAAAAATTCTTGGAGACAGATTTTGGCGAGCTGAATCCAAAAATCTGGCATATTGATGGCCCACTTGCAAGATTGAGGGCTATCATCGAAAATCGGAAGCAACTGTGGCATTTTTGTTAAGGGTGTATTTGGTGCGATTTTGAAAAAATTAGGGACGCAAAAATTATGAAAAATGTCCATTTCTAAGCGAAAATAATCCCAAGTTTAAGTTCTAGGACATGTTTTCGACATATGTATTCATTTTCAGTGTTTTTTTTTATTTCAAAAATTGCTATAAATAACTATTTCATTTTGATGATTTTGGAAAAATGGTAGAAATTTTTGAAGAACTGAAGACAAAAAATTGCAGCGATTCGAAATCAACGCAAAAATCTCTCTTGCCAAATTTAGAAAGTGCTCAAGTAAAGGCCAAATTACAAGTTACTTAAAAATTCACAAAAAATTCTGGCAGATAGATTTTGACGTACTGAATTAAAAAAATATGGTATGTTGAGGGTCCTAGTTCTAAGATTGAGGGCCAAAATTCGGAGCAATCGTAGCATGTTTCTTAACGACGTATTTTGGGCGATTTTGGAAAAACTGGGTGCCCAAAAATTATGAAAAAAATCCTGTTTAAGCAGGGATAATGAATCAATAAAGAAAAATAATCCCAAGTCCATTTTAAAACTTGTTTTCGACATTTTCAATTTCTAAGACAATTTTTTAACCATCCCAAAAATTGTTATACGCTTGTAAGTATTTCGTTTTGGTCATTTTGGAAAAATCGCAGAGATTTTCGAAGAACTGTGCTGATAAAAACTTGGAGGAATCGAAATCAACGCAAAAAACTCCGGTTTTTATAGTGTTCGATAAACATAAAAAATTTCGTAAGTTACCTTAAAATTCACAAAAAATTCTGGGCGATGCATCTCGACGAGTTGAATTCAAAAATATGCCATGTGATGGTTCTGGAATTTTTAGGATTTTCAATTTTTTGATATTTCAGTTTCGGGACATTCAAATTTTTCGATTTTTCAATTTGTCCATTTTCTAGTTTTTCAATTTCTCTATTTTCAATTTTTCGGTATTAATTTTTGAGATTTTTCAATTTTTCGATGTTTCAATTTCTCGAATTTTTATATTTTCGATTTCTCTGTTTGCTGATAATTCGCTTTTAGGATATTTCAGTTTTCGAAATTTCAATTTTTCGATTTTTACATATTTGGATTTTTCGATTTTTCGGCTTTTCGATTACTCGATTTTTCGAGTTCTCAAATTTTCGATCTTCAGATTTTTAATTCTTCAATTTTTCGATTTTCCAATTTTTCGATTTTTCAGGTTTTTGATTTTTCCATTCTGAGCCTTTCGATGTTTCAGTTTTGTTTTTTTTTTTGTTTTCGATTCCATTTCTCAATATTTGACTTTTTTAATTTCTTAAATTTCAGATTTTTCTATTTTCAGTCCTATCAATTTTTAGATTTCTGGATTTATTGAGATTTAGATGTTTCGATTGTTCGATTTTTCGATTTTTTTATTTTTTTTTTAATTTAAATTTTTAATTTTTTCATACTTTAATTGTTCGATTTCTCCATTTTTAAATTTCAGGATTATTCAATTCTTCGACTTCTCGATTTCTCGATCTTTTGATGCTTCGATTTCTCGATGTTTCAATTTTCAAATGGTCGATTTTTTGATCTCTTGGTTTCTCGATTTTTAGATTTTCCAATTTCTGGATTTTTCAATAATTCTATTTTTCAGTTTTTCGAGTTTTTAAATTTTTCGATTTCTCGTTTTTTCCATTTTTCAATTTTTCGTTTTTTTTTAATGTTACATTTTTTGATTTTTCAATTTCCGATTTTTATTTATTTTTTTTAACACATACATATTTCAATTATCCAATTTTTCGATTGTTCCATTTCTTGACTTCCCAGTTTTTGAATGTTTAAATTTTTTGATTTCTTGATTTTCCATTTCTCAACTTTTCAACACTTCATTTTTGTGATTTTTCCATTTTTGGATCTTTCAATTTTTCGATATTTTAGTTTTAGATTTCTCGATCTTTTGACGTTTCGATTTCTCGATGACTCGGTTTTTCGATTTTTCGACCTTTCGATTTTTCAAATTGTGAATTTTCGAAATTTGGAATTTTCAATTATTCCATTTTGCGAATTCCAAAATTAGGGACTATTATCGAAAATCCGGAACAATCGTAGCAGTTTTCTTAAGGTCGTATTTAGCACGATTTCAGAAAAACTGGGTGCTCAAAAATTATGAAAATATTTCTGTTTACGCAGGGATGATGAATCTATAAGATACAATAATCCCAAGTCGATATTAAAACTGGTTTTAGACATCTCCGCTTTCAAAGTCAATTTTTTTAAAGATCTCAAAAATTGCTCTTTTGCAAAGTTTCAAAAGTACTCGAGTAGACATCAAAAATTTCAAAAGCTGTATTAAAAAAATTGAGATTTACGCAAAAATATGAGATGTTGTTGGTCCCAGTTCCACGAGTTATTATCGAAAATCCGGAATAATCGTGCCATTTTTGTTAAGGAAGTATTTAGCGCGATTTCGGAAAAACTGGGTGCCCAAAAATTATGAAAAACATCCTGTTTACGTAGAAATGATGACTCTATAAGAAAAAATGATCCCAAATCGATACTAAGGCTGGTTTTCGACATATCCGGTTTCAAACTCAAGTTTTTAAAAATCTCAAAAATTGTTTCATTTTGATAATTTTGGAAAAATGGTAGAAATTTTCGAAAAACTCTGATCATAAAAAAATTCAGAGGAACGAAATGAACGCAAAAATTTTCTTTGAAAAATTTCAAAAGCGTTCGAGTAAAGACCAAAAATTTCGTAAGTAAGGTATTAAAAAAATGAAATTTTCGCAAAGTTAAAAAGTTCTGGGAGACCACGGAGGTAGAAAAGACCGGAGGGAAGGTGTCGTGAATTTTGTGACACAGACTCAGGCACCGTTTATGACCCTACTTGAAATGCGCGCTGTGCTAAGCTCCACCCTCTAAATGTTTAGCAGTCATAACCAGTGGCGGGGCAACATATTTTATGTTGACAACCTTATATATAAGTCTCTAAATGTTATTATGATCTTTAATTATAATCAAAATCTATTCAAATTAAAAACACCAACAACACGTCCAAAACTAAAACAGCACAACTAAACTCGAAACTCAAGAACGAACAATTGCATATAAACAGCACGTGTTACGTGATAGTACGCCACTGGAAATCCAAACTCTGTCAGCTGTTGAGTGTAGCAGCGCGTTTGCGTCGGGCTGGTAAATATTGGCGCCTTGTTCAAATAAGATCATAACCGGTGTCTGACCGGGTCTTGAACGATGCCAGAATCGTTACATTGCTAGCATACGGTACGCTCCCTCCGGTCTCTTCTACCTCCGTGTGGGAGACAGATTTCGACGAGTTGAATCCAAAAATCTGTTAGGTCGATGGTCTCGGTTCCAAGACTGTGGGCTATCTTTCAAAATCCAGAGCAATCATGGTATTTTTCTTAAGGATGTATTTAGTGCGTTTTTGGAAGAACTCAGTGCCTAAAAGTTATGAAAAAAAAATCTGTTTGCGTAAGGACCATGGATCTATAGGAGAAAATCATCCCAAGTGGATACTACGACTGGCTTTCGACACATTTCGTTTCAAAATATCTCCAAAATTGCTTGCAATATTTCATTTTGGCGATTTTGGAAAATTGGTAGAAATTTTCGAAAAACTGATCGAAATCAAGGCAAAAATCTCCGTTACTACGATTCAAAAGTGTTCGAATGAAGGTCTAAATTTTGCAAGTAGATCAATTGAGATTTCCTTGAAGTTACCTAAAAAATCTACAAAAAAATTTTGGAAATAGATTGCGTCGAGTTGAATCCAAAAATATGGTGGTATGCTGATGATCATGGTTCCAAGATTGAGAGCTATCATCGAAAATCCGGGGTAATTGTGGCATTTATGATAAGGACGTATTTAGCGCGATTTTGGAAAAGTGGATAGCCAAAAATTATGAAAAAAAATCCTGATTACGCAAGAATGATGAGTCTATGACGGAAATTATTCACATGTAGATACCACGACTGATTTTCTAAATATTCGGGTTCAAAATCGACTTTTAAAAATATGTATCTTCAAAAATTGATATACATATTTCATTTTGCCGACTTTGGTAAAATGATAGGAATTTTTGGAGAACTGAGGCCACACAAAACTTCAGGGGATCAAAATTTCCTCTGAACTGGAAAGCACTCCTTAAAAAAAAAAATAAACTGGGAAACATTTCGAGGAGCTGAGTTCAAAAATACGGTGTATTGGTAGGTCCGGTTTCAAGGTGGAGGGCCATCATCGAATATCTAGACTAGAGCAATCATACCACTTTTGTTAAGGCCGTATTTGGCGCGATTTTGGAAAAATTAGGTGGCCAAAAATTATGAAAAATGCCAACATTTAACCTAAACACGGATAAAAGCTCGCACAGACAGAATTAAGTTACAAAGTCTAAGAAAATTTTTATTTTATGTGAATAACTGAGTCCAGGATATTTATTTGCTTTACCAAGAAACTTCTGAAAATCCCCAATAAAATGCCATTTCTTGGTCGAAAAAAATCTTGTTTGCATGCGTCACTGTGTAGTAATTCGGATTGATTACCTCCCAGAATAAATCATACCATTTTTATAACACATCAATGTCAAAAGTCACCCGAAAAGTTCATAAATTGCGGACGAAACGATATATAGAGATGACACAACTTCACAAAGCGTGCAGAGGTCAAACAATTATTAAATGTTATTATCTGTTGGGAATTGCCATCAACTTATTTCTATATTGTTATAAAAGCTGCAATCGGGTCTTAAGGAATTACCAAGATAATATCACACACAATGATGTTTTTTCTCTCAGTGCCTCTAGGCCATACAACGCTTTCTATTTGATCCTTTGCATAACACCCAAACAATGCAGTCCGTTGCAGAAGAAACATTCACATTGAACCTTTCCGACAGGCCAATAATGATGAATCAATGTATTCCTTGAAGTTTGTACTTTTCAATTTTAAAATGGCATAAATAAATAAATTACGTTCAACGCACTATACCATGACTCACATCCGTTGGCTAGTTTACATGCAGACTTGTTATATCATAATTACAAATTTCAAACTGCCTTCAATAGACTCCATAAACCACGTATTGTAATCCGGTGCAGAAACACTAAACTTCTATTAGCTTTAGAACAACAAGCTAATCGGTTTTGATTTACAATCTCGATTTGATTTATTATACACATCCTGCCGGTCTTATAACCGTAACTTCCACTATACAATTTTGGTCCAGTTTTTGATTTGCAATTTAAAATACTTACTTCGTTTCCGTAACACATCATGTGATGAACTGTGATGAGGGCTTTATACACGACGACCCAATTTGTGTTTTGTGATCTTTCGATGAGTAGGTTCGCTAGTTGTGGTATGGATACATTTGGTTCATTTGTGCAGTGTATTAAATCTGAAATGAAAATAAAAATTCATAAAGCTTGCGTTATAATTCCGTCACGAAAAAACAGTCATAACTTTAACAGCAAACATTAATTTTACATCGCACACCCACTCAAGAATTACACGCAGGTAGCTACTCATTTAACAAAGCATGATTCAAAAAATTACATGATCGTACGAGTGGAATAAACTCTGGGTGGAATAGAAATGTGCGTATTTACTGGAATTTATAAATGGGTTTTTATTCATTCATAAATAGAAGAATTATTCGCAAATTTGTAATTAGAATGTTAGAATGTAATGGAATTACGAAAACGAGGTTTTAATTAATATGTATTTTACATAGTATAACACGAGTTCAATTTCACTACTCATGGAAAAATACTAAAATTAAATTATTAGATGTTTAATTAAATTTTCCATACATATCAAAAATGTTCAACTGTGCAGCATTAACTAACTGTATTGACATTATCACTCCTCAGGCGAATTTTTCAATAACAACAAGTTATTAAAAAATATCGAACAATGAATAGATACATTTTTGTTAGAGATAATGTGAAGCACCATTGCATTTTCAGAGTAGTAGGTTGAGTAATTTACAACACAATCTAGTCAGTTTATATTAATCTGACGTTGATTTGGCAGCCTCTTTAAAATTCGTTCGGTCAACATTTTCTATAATTTTGTATATTTAAAAAATTATGTGGTCAACAAAGTGAATAACAAGATTTGGATACAAAATTTGCAACATTATCAAAATTTCCTAATCTGATAAACATAAATAAATTGATAAAATTTTAAAACGGGAAAATTATACAGCGACAGTTGAAGTGTTGTTTACCTCTTAAAGTCAATCGAATTGGTGAAAATAACTTTTAGGAAAGAATTTAAATTTATTGTGAGATTATATTGCTAAAAATACTGTTAGTTCTTTAGGAATACTATAATAATAATAAAAACAATGCGATCAGATAAGAACAGCTCGTGTTCGAAAACAATTCATTGTGGTCATTTGGCTTTGATATATTGTTATTATCATGTATGTACATTATTTTGCCAGTTTTATAAAGACAAGCGACTGTTTATTCGAACACTCATTAATAATAAAATAAATTTGATGAATATTAAGCATACAACATTTCTTGCTATTAATTTGTAATTAAGTTATTATCAACAGTAATTATTATTTATATGGTGAATATTAGTTTATTTGTACCTTAATTCTCCCACATATTTGTGATATATTATTTTTAACCTTGTCTGCAAGATAAGAAGTCATTCATCTGATAATTTTTACTGATAATAATAAACTTCGTAACACATGTAAAAACACTAACAGGATAACGCAATACATGGTTTGGTAAAAAAATCAGATTTTGATTTATTAATTTGTATCGTGTGAGCGGGATATAGTTGTGAAAAACCCAATCAGACAGAAATGAAAGGAAATACTGGTTATTGATAAAAATTGTAGTGCAACTTTTACATTGAGAAGAATCCAATAAAATTTATTGCGCAACTCTTGAAAGGTATAATTTATTGTTTTATAAAAGCTACATCGTTTTGTAACAACATCGAACTGAATACGACCTTAGAAATACATAAATCGCTTGCGCTTTGTACTGAATCCTATTTCTACGTATAACAACCACTAAAAAGCGATAGCTTAGAAATAATTGCTGCAACTTTGTTAACAAGAGGCCATTTAAATAACGTAATACATTTGTAACCATACAACATACGTTTTTCTAGGAGTGGGTAAAACACATTTTCTTCACATGTTATATACATTACATTTTCCAACAAAGTAATACTATACTATAACCACTTTTCTCACCAACATAGTACTTTTAATTTTCGGTTTTCCCCTAATTTAAAAATTTCTTTGAGGAACCGCTTGTATTACAACTGTTTTAGTATCTTTGTAAATCCCATCTATTAAACTCGCAATCAACTGCAGTTTTTGCACTATGGTGAATGTAAACATTTACTTTTCCCCGTATTTGGTTGTAAAAGAATTACGTGTTTATTTGAGACTCCAACTAAGTCATTACGCGCAGATTTTCATGGAAATCATGAAACATTTACGGTTGCTTTATTTGGTAAACCACATCTGCATTTATCAATTTAGTTAAGGCAAATCAAGCAAACCAGGAAATGTAGTTTTACTTTGTCCGCAGAAGTTATTAGTACTTTTACTAGGCTTTAGTAGATAGAGACATAATAAAGTTAATGTTGAAACTCAACCATTAAAAAAGTCTTGGTAATAAAGCGATACGACTAAATTAGACACATATTCACTTTCAAAATGGTAAAATCCTAACCATTTTAGGAATCTAAATTACATGTGTTAAAATCTACATAAACGGTGATTGTAAATTCATTCTATTCCTCTGTGATTAAATTAAGGAAAAACCGAGACGAAAATTAAATTAAGAGAAGAAGTTCAGGTTTTGGGCACAGAATGACGTAAATCCGACTGGTTGAGTAACCTTTATGAATTTATTCAATGTCTGTAAAACTACCACCAAGTACAAAGCTCCCACATTTGGTCTATGTTTAGCAATAACACAAATCATTCCAGTAGTTTTGGAATTTCAGATGTTTTCTAATTTCAACTTACATTCAAAACGATGTGACAAACCAGGGGCTTCGTTCTGATACCAATCAAGTATATTTTTACTAAAGACGGTGATCGTTTTAAAATTTTGACAATTAGGAGAATGGCCAATGACTGTCTTTGAAGTGTGAAAACAATAGTTATTGAAAGCCCGAAAACCCCAAAAAATTTAATAAACACAGTTGGTAATTCTAGGGATCATGAAACATTGAGCAAACCTATCCAAACTTTCAAATTTGAAAATAACACTAAATAAAGCCAAAAATACATTACTTTGCAACAATTTTTACCAAATGACAGAAAAATGCTGCTTTATGCGTCTCCAGTGATAACATTTCTGACTTAGTATTAAAAAGTACAATACAGTGCTACAAAGTTAGCTTAATTTGGCCAACTTAAAATAGTTAATTTCTTTAAAATGTAGCAAAATTTTCAAAAAGTAACACTAGGGAAGCTTAGACTCAAGCTTTGTCTTTCCCATGGTGGAAATTATTTTTCTTTTAATATATAGAGTGTAAAAAAATGACGCACTAAATCATTGAGACGTTAGGGACTGTCTACTGAGCAAGGAAAACATAATTTTGAAAATCCTTAGGTCCAAATGTAGAAAATTTAATTTTTCTTTTAGAGTTGAGCATTTCTTATAATTTATAATTCATGATTTAAAATAACTTTGAAAATATGTACATATTATGTCTTTGTCCACAGTTTTCTTTGTTTTATAATATAACAAAAAACATAAAAATTGGTCAAAATGAATCCAACAACAGTCACTATTTTTTCTTCTTTTTTATAAGTGAAAGTCAAACTGATGTAAGATTTTTTTTTAATGATTTTTCTCGACCTTAAAACTTTTGAACTTAATAATGTACCGTTGTGTTGGTGTGCCATTTTTGAATCACCCTATATTGTATATTCAAAAACATTGGTAGAAATTTATTTCGAAAGAACTTCCCTTGCCCCTCAAGTACAGTCCAACAAATCCCGGATATATTATATAAAATAATAAACTTTGATTTCACGATTTTTGTTTTGTAATAACCTATACAAAGTAAAAACCAGTGGCGTAAATAACACCCTCGCCAAAGAGCATGCAAATTTAAATTAGATAACTAATGGAAAAAATGTTCTCTTAGTAATTGCATGCTTAACTTCGAACGTTTACGTTTACACTTCGAAAAGTCGACTATATAACCACGTTCACAATACGAGTCAGCGGCCGCGTGCATTTGTGTTAAAAGAAATTTAAATTAGATTGATTTTGTCTCCTTAAAACAAAAGAGAAGATTAATTAAGCTAGAATGGACCAAAACGATTCGAATATTATTTTTGGGTGAGAAGCTGTTATTGTAATAATATCTATGCTATGTTTATAAAATATAGACGGACACTACATTACTGTAAGATTGAAGTAAATGGGAGACCAAGTTTTTGGTTTTTATGTTGTAAAAAATGATGACGTGACCTCAAAAAAATATAAAAAATACTTTGGAAATTATATAATGTACTAAATTTATGACAAAAAATGTGTTTTATTTAATTACAACGTTTTCTAATTTCTGCTCTAGTTAGCCATGACGTTTCAATTGCACCGCTGACGTACGCGTTATGGTCAACTAGAGCAGAAATTTAAAAATCGCATGGTAGTTGCTACGGGTACTTAATATTTTTTTATGTTTATAAACAAAAATGGTGTATGGGAGCTATTTAACAAGTAAATTGTGAAAACACTGTCATGTTTTTGGGTGAATGTCGTTCAGTTTGTAGTAACATAAGAATATCAAGTTAAAAAAATAACACCACTGAGGATCCTGCGCCTTAGGGCCACAAATTCAGGGGAACACGGCCCACAATGAAAGGTATATTTCAAGCAGATACTCAACGGGAGAAAATATGCTCACAATAAAAATAATATGCTGAACTTGGAGTGTTTGTTTAATTCTTCCAAGCAGATGCCAAGCTTCAGCGGTTGCATGGATTTGTGTTAAAAAAATTGGTCGAAGGTTATTTCGACAGAACTTCCCTTGCCCTGGAAGTGTAGCCCAACTTCCTTGAAATATTATAAAAATTGTTTGCGATTTTTGTTTTCTGATAACCTCTATAAATAAAAAGCAAATAACACTTCCACAACTTTTTTGACTTAAATTTTATTTTTTAATGATAACCTTTATTTTAGTTTCGGTTTTTTGTTTTCTTCTATTTTTCGATGTTTCGATTTTGTAATTTTTTGTTTTTCAATTTTAATTTTTTTAGTTTCTTGTTTCTTCAATTTTTCGATTTGCGATTTTTTAATTTTTCATTTTTTTGTTTCTTCAGTTTTAGATTTTGCAATTTTCCAGTTTAAAATTTCTCAAATTTTCAACTTTTAATTTTTCATTTCTTTAAAT